ACATGCACATGTCAGAGAGACACTTCTTGAATGCTTCTTGAACTCTGACAGGCTTGGTGCTGTGACCACTTCCCTGGGGAACCTGTTCCAGTGCCCAACCACCCTTGGAGTGAAGAACCTTTTTCTAATATTCAACCTAAACCTCTCCTGACACAACTTCAGGACACTCCGTTGGGTCCTGTCACTGGTCAACACAGAGAAGAGGTCAGTGTGTGCTCCTCTTCCCCTCATGAGGAAGTCGTGGACTGAGACAAGGTCTCCCCTTAGTCTCCTCTTCTCCTGGCTGAGCAGACCAAGTGACCTCATTCGCTCCTCATACGGCTCCCCCTCAAAGCCCTTCACCATCCTTGTGGTCCTCCTTTGGGCACTCTTTAATAGCTTTATATCTTTCTTATATTGCAGTGCCCAAAACTGCCACAGTACGCAAGGTGAGGCCGTACCAGTGCAGAGCACAGCGTGTCAGCCCCTCCCCTGACTGGCTGTGATGCTTTGCCTGATGCCCCCAGGACACGGTTGGCCCTCCTGGCTACCAGGGCGCTGCTGACTCATATTCACTTGTAGTTTTTGAAAGTTGATTGATCATTGGAACCAAGATACTCAGCCTGGACCTGCACGAGCTCCACAATCCCAAAATAACCTAGCTATGGGAATTAGACCATTTCAGAGTTAAGTAGGAGCTGAGGGGGAAAATTGTGGATCGCAGTTCTGAGAGTTTGCCTTTACCTGAATTCTGCTGCTGACCTCCAGCTATATGCTGGATCTCCTCTCCAGCGCCTGGAATTCCCATGGAAATGGAATATTTCAGCTTCACCCACCTACATGCTCGAGGCCAAAACTCTCCTTGTGTCCCAGTTACACGTTATTCTGAGAGTGGCATAAGTGGTCATTGTATGTGAATTCAGCAAAAGAATGAATTCTCTACATCAAGAGCAAAAATGGCAAAACTGGACCTTTCTCATTAAATAAGTCACACGAACAATCAATTTGCATATGTTTTGCATTCTTTGGTATAAATTTTTAAATATTTTAAAGTTTCAGGAAACCTGGGAGGATTTATAACATGAATCTCTCTGAACTGTGATCTAAGAGTTACTTCTCCCTTAAGAATAATGATTTATTGGGTCTAAGCTGTTTTAGAATTATTATTTTTTAGTCTACTGGGGCTTTCAATGCAGTTACTTTCAAAGGAAATAAAACCAGATGGTAATTGTAGATTAGAGAAAAAGATTGAGCTCCCAATTAATTATTAAAATTGACTGTTAATTTTAGAAACTTGCAGTAAATTTTTCACAAAAGAAAATTTAAAGATACAAGAACATCCTATACTATATTATTTCTAAAATTCCCTGTTCACAAGCTGTAAAGAACATTTTAAATTTTGGAGAAATCATACTTGGAAATTTAATGACACTAGGTATATACTGAATTGCATCAAAGATCTGTCCCTCTCCTTATATTGCAGAACCACAGAATGAATAAGGTTAGAAGGGATGACCAGTGGGGTCATCTGGTCCAACCTTTCTGCTCAAGGAACATATATGCACAGCATTCACATACCCTAACCCTATAAAATACTGAAGATCAATATATTTGTATGTTATGTAGATATATATCTCTGTTTCAGTCTTAAGGCAGAGGGAGAGCAGTTTTCCACTTATTTGGAATGGTTTTTCTGGCATTAAAAAAAATCCATTCCTGACTGTGACGAATTAAAATATTTTGGTGGGTTTGGGCTTTGTATGAATGAGACAACAATATCAGAGATGCAAAAATGTTCAAACTAGCCCCTAACTTCACAACACTTCTTGGCAGTCAAAAATACTGCAAGAGGCTGTGCGTTTCACTGAGTGAAGACAAAATATTTTGCTGCAAAGAGAGTAGAAACTATTTATCATACCTAGACTATGGAGCAACCAGCCACTCTGACCTTCCATGGCTTCCTTGATAGTTCAGGTACATGGATAACTTCTGCTGGTGGTGAAAATATGCATTCTCTTTCCAAGTTTGTGGTCTTTGTGATCTCTTTGCTCTTTGTTAAAATAGAGAAACAATACGTGTGACAACAGGGAAGGTCAGGTTAGAATAAATTTAATATTGAAGTTCTGTTTTACTTTCAGAAAAGGCTGTATAAAATATCCTCCCCTTCCATATTCCCATGGACTGATCTGTTCCCTCCATGTTTTCAGTCAGCTGTAACGCCTTCAGTAAAAAATTGTGATTACAGGCACATGTTTCTCCCCTTAACTCTGTGTGTTCAACACTGCTAGAGAGAAAGGGATGAAGCTCCAGTCTGTGCACATCAACAAGGGAGTTTCTAATGTCCCAGACATAGTTTTATGAAACTCAAAGTTTATATCTTCAACACTCTTGTTTCTGAGGTCATAACTTTGATTGAAGTGTAATGACTGGGACAATGCACAGAATGAGATGACTCGAAGCGTGCTCTCAGAGTACAGAGTAGACTTTGCAGAAAGGAAGGGATGAAGAAGTGATAAAGTGGTAATGAGAAAGTAACATGAGAATATTTGCAGTGGGATTGATATAAGGCCCTACTGTAATATGTTTAGAGAAATGCTTCTGCCATAGGACTGTGCAACACGTCAATCATCCAGTGGATCAGCAAGCAGTGGTCACTTAACAGCAACACTACAGAAGGAAAAAAATATGCCAATTAAACCAAATAAAAATATTAAATCCCCAAATATTAAGCATACATCAAATTTGGCAACTCATTGAACTGCCTAAGGCAGTTGGTTTATGGAGTCATGTTCTTTCCACTTAATATTATTAACAATTCCCAGGGAAGTACTGCATAGTTACAGCAGCTAGTACATTAATCTTTATCATATGTGCAAGAGTGGAAGCTTGCAAGAGGATTATGAAAACACAGTGCTTGTTTTTTATCTCCAAATTGATCTCTGTGCAGAAAATAATGATCTAATGAGACTACTTAATAACTGACTGTTAACTTCCCCAGGGCTAGAAATACTTTTATATCAAGTGGTGGGACAAATGCTCTTGTGAGGGTTCTGAGCTCTCTGCTTTGAGATGCTACTTCTTGTCTTCCAGTCAATGTGGTAGGGTCACAAGATACAAATACCTCATATACCTTTTTCAAACATGCTGTGGGTTAAATTAGTGGTTGAGCATGGAAATCATTCTAAAAGCACAAGTCATCTTCCCCACAGATTCCTTTTGCTTTTGCTCATTAATATTGGGGTGTTTCCTCTAAAAAGCAAGTGACTCTATCTGGATGTAAACTCTTTGAAGTAGAACAAAACCACTGAATACTCCCCTTTCAAGGGAAAGCAAAACTGAAATGGATCCTGTTGTGTTCACATCCTCAGACTACTTTGTCTATAAGAGAAATTGGTACTGGGTTAGAGCAAAGGTCCATCTAGCCCAGTGCCCGTCTCCAGCAGTGATCAGCAGTGGATGGTTAAGGTAAAGAATAAGAGCAGGGCAAGAATACAATCATTCTTTCCCAAATATAACCCCAGCCTTCAGCAATTTGTGTAGCAGGAACTTCCCGAGCCAGAGGTCATGACTTCATATTTAAAAGCCTTTAATGTTTTTTTTCTTCCATAAATATGTCCTAAAATTTTCTGAAGCATGAAGTCCCGTGGAAATGACTTCTACAGCTTCACTAAATATTTTGTGAAGAAGTATGTCCTTTTGTTTAAATCAAAGCTAGGCCCTAGTGGATTTCATTTCTCCTACTCCTAAAACTGGAAATAATACTGAGATATCATTCCAATTTATCTTCCTCATGCTGCTCATTATTATGAAATGTTATGAATGACAACCCCCCCCCATCACTGTTTTATCTACACTTACCTTTTTTTTTTCCATGCCAAAGAATCCTACTCTGTTTAGCCATTTTTATGTAGAAGTTGTTCCTTATCTTTATCATTTATCACCTAGTTCTTTGCTATATAAGATCCTTCAGTAACTGACTCAAGAGAGATGCCCAAAGCAAGCAGACCAGGACAATCAGCTGACTTTAATCCACTACTTCACAGGAATTTTACTCCACAATGTACAGGGGTAACAAAAGAAGAAGCACACATTTAGTTGAGCTTAGTGTGTTGATAAAAGCAGATGGGTGTGGATTTGGTTGCCAAGGTCATTACGTCACTCAAAGTCTTCCAAGTACAGTTTAATACAGGTCTTATGAGGCTTGTACAGAAAGTGATTTTCAGGACCTAATTTAATAAGAGTAGTTCCCTTCTTCTGTCCTTTCTACACCACTATCAAAAGCTTATAGATCACTATAATGAACGACAGGTGATTGTGAAATAGGTAGATGGCCTAGTCAAAGGACATTATGGAAGGATGTTCTAGAAATTTGTGAGTATTGTAGGAGAAGCTGTTCTCAAGGAGTAAAATTTCATCTGAAAAACACAGGTACTGCATTGCTGGGAAAATTCCTGAACTTGAAGTGCTTGGGAGAGGGGTTGAGAGAGTGCAGGGGTGAAGGTTGTCCTATTTTTACATTCTTGACCAGACATTTGCTGTGGGTACTGTTGGTGACAGCACGCTGAGCTAGATGTCCCTGCAGTCGGACTCAGGCAAAACTTCTCTTACAAACCCAGGCTGCCATGTTCATTAAAGCAGCCCATAGATAATACATGGTCCATTAAGATCACTCTTTCCATGGCTGCTGTAAATGCCGCAGGAGGCTGTGCTCTGCCCGACTTTCGCTGGGAAAGGGGTGATGCTAGAAAACAGGCGGTGAAGCCCACGCCGCTGGGTAGAAACCCGCAATGCTAAGCCCTCCCGGCCGCCAGCAGCCCCTTCCCACCCCTCCCGCGGCGGCACGGAGCACCTAGCCCGCATCCCAGGGGCATCGGGAGCGCCGGGAGGCAGCCGGGCGGGCGGCAGGAGGGCTTAGGACCCAGGGGGACGGCAGTGGAAGGACCCAAGCTTTGGCGCACACGCCTCCTACAAAAAAAAAAAAAAAAAAAAAAAAAAAAAAAATCACAGCCCCGTGGAGCTGGCGCTCGCTCATTCAGTTTTCTAGAGAGATCTGAGCCGGAACCCGGGAGCCGGGAGATCTTTCTCGCCCACCCATCTCAGCAGCAAGGACATCTACAGGGGGAAAACCCACCCCACGCAGCCCCCCGCCGCCCCACGGCAGCTGCTGGCGCTGTGCAGGTATTTGGATTTGCCTTCTTTGGGGTTGCGCAGGGCGGCTCTCCGCGCTCCCGGCATCCCCCGACCCTCCGGGCCCGGGGTGCGGCGATTCAGCACCGCCGGGAGGACAGCTCCGGCGGCGGGCAGGGGCCGCTCCCTTCCCGGCCTCCTGCCTGCCCGGCTCCCTCCTGCCTGCCCTGCTCCCTGCCTCCTGCCGGCTGTGTCCTGCCTGCCTAGCCTCTCCTGCTCCCTTCTGCCTGCCCCGCTCCTTGCCTCCTCCCCACCCTACTCTCTGCCTGCTGCCTCCTGCCTGCCCTGCTCCCTGTCTGACCTACCTCCTGCCTCCCAACCTGTCTCTCCTGCCTCTGTTTCCTTGCCTTCTGCCTGATCTGTTTGCCGTGCCTACCTCTTTCCCCTGTTTGCTGCCTTCCCTGTCTCTCTGTCCCCTGCCTCCACTGCTTACCTCATGCCTGCCCTGACTCCCTGCTCCCTTCCGACCCTGTTCCCTGCCTCCTCTGCATCTTAGCTGGCCTGGTCCCTCCCTACCTCCTTACCCTGATTCCTGCTTCCCCTGACTGCCTCTCCTGCCTGTCCTACCTCTCTGCTCTCTGCCTCCCTCTGCTCTCTGCCTCTGTGCCTCCTTCCCCTTCTCCCTGACTCTCTTCTTTGCCCTGCCTGCTCTACTTCCCTTACCTCCCCCTTCCTCCTCTGCTTCCCTTGCCTCCCTTGCCTCCCTTGCCTCCCTGCCCTGTTTCCTGCTTCCAGCCTCCTATCTATCCTGGCTCTTCTGCCTCCAGTCCTCCTTGTCCTGTTTCTCTGATTCTCTTATTCCTACCTTCCTGTTTTCTGCCTTCCCTGTCTACTCTCCTTCCTGCCCTGCTCCCTTGTCTCCTTTCTTCCCTGCCCATTTCCCCACATTCCTCACTTTCCTGCCCTCTTTCCCTCCTGTCTTCCTTCTCCATCACCAGTCCCAGTCTTTCCTGAAAGGGGGCATGGCACTGAAAAAAGCAGCTCAGCAGCCCAGAAGCTGGGGAAGAAAGGGAACACAACTTGGAAGGGAAAGTCCAGATCTAATTTGAGAGCAAGAGAGAGGTGAGAGGGATGTAGCGGAAAGGCTTAAAACTGAGATTTAAGTTACTGAAGTAAGGACTCCAGCCAAGTGTCGACATACAGAAGTTTACCAAACAGCAGCAGATACCTGTTTGCTCCTTAGCAAATTGATGCCCATTTTGACTAGGTGTACTTAACCCAAAGAGGGAAGAGGGATTAAAGAGAGTGGGGAATGTGCTCGGTCAGTCAAGTGTATTGCCTTCCCAGTGGCAAACAGTGATGGGTGCGGGGAAGAAGTGAGGTGAAAAACAGCTAGCCTGTGGATCCTTTGCTGCAGGAAGTAAAGAATTAAGCTGTGATCTCTGCAAGAAGTGAGGATGTTCAGACAGGGCTTCATGCATAAAAATAAATGCAAAGCAAATAACAGCTGGAGAAACCCCATGTGTGCTACTGGCCTGACTTTAATTCTCTTTGCAATGGTTTAATCCTGGGAGGGTGAGGAAGGTCATAGGAGAAAGAGAACTTCCCCTTTTCAAAACGCTGATTCCTCAGTTTTAACAAGCTCTGGGAATAATGAAGTTAAGGAGCAGATGGCTACTCCTTGTCCATCACTAAACAGTGACTGGATCCTATTTGGAAGGAAAAATTAAATTACAGAAAGGCGGCTTTCATGTGCTTTCTGAGTAATCAGATGATAACACGGATTTTCTGCAGTACTAAAAGTTAATACAATGCCAACATTTACATGACATATTATGTAACAGTATTATGCCATGCACTGCATAGCGAAGGTACTGGTTTACTTTTTCATATAATTATAAGTCAGATAACCTTATAGAGCTTTTCCTCATATGCAGTCTGTATCCCAACTTGAAGTTTACAGGGGCAGCTTATGTTGTCATATATCTGTTATAAAATGATGCCAATTATTTTAAGAATTCTGTTGACTCATCCAGCTCTAAAAACTATTATTTTCTAAAAATTAGACTTTTGTAAGGCATATGCAAAACATTGAAAGATATTGCAACTTATTTCAAAAACCTTCTTAATTTATTTAATCATTGTATATAACTTGAAAGCTGCTGCAGAGACCAGATACTATGAGTAGCACTGAGTGCTGCTGAGTAGTAGTGTAAGCAGTGTAATTGTGTTCAGCAATGGAGGGAATGCAGAATCCACCCCATAGCACTGGGTCAAAGCAGTTCAACTCTGTGTGCTTTGAACACAGAGGTCATTTCACTGAAACATTTAATAGCAGCCTCCTCATCTTCCAATAGAGGACTATGTCAGTTGTAATACAAATGATCAGCCTCATAAAAGGATGGAGAATATTTTCTTCAAACTAAGACTATAAACTCATGCAATTGTTAACTGAACTGTGCAATTACTGAAGCAATTGTGCTATTACTTGGCAAGTGAGTTATATTTTGTCTCACAGCCTGGTACTGTAGTGTGTCTCTGGCACAAACACAAACAAGATATGACAATTAGGTCTTACTAGTTAAAACAAACTAAAAAAAAAACAAACAAAAAAGAAACAACATTAGTCTTTTATAGAGTGGGAAATTCACTGAGCTGAAGTTCACGTGTTTTTTGGCACATGAATCACAATTCCTTTCCCTCATGATATAATGCTGCTTTGTGGATTTACTTTGAGAATTTCCAAACAGTTTAGTGGGGTTTTGGTTTGTTTGGTTTGGGTTTTTTCCTTCAAAAGCATTTATAGAAATAAACTCCTTTTTTCTGATATGTTCCTCCACTGAGAAAACAAACCCACAAGGTATTATCGAATTATATTAAACTTTATTTCTACAACTTTGGGAGAAGTACCTGTGTGCAGAACTTTGTTTTGTGATCATATTTCAACAGGAATGAGAGAAAGAAAAAACAACAACAGGAGAACTGCATGAATTCCTGGGTGCAGAATTTCTCCCTCTTTCTTGCCTCCCTTCCTCCCTTCTTCCTTCCCTCCTTTCCTTTCATTCCTTGCCTCCCTCCTTTTTTCCTGCCTTCCTTACTTCCTTTCTGCCCCTGACTGTCTCTCCTTCCCTTCCTTCTCCCACTGCCACTCCATGGAATGCCACAGATGCCTTTCTTTGGCATAATATATAAAGCAGAACAAAGTTAACACTCATACACCACCATTGTATTTCATATTTTTTAAAGGAAGTTAATTTTTCAAAACATGAAGCAAAAGAACTGCAAAATTAGATAAAGTTCATGTTATTAAAGATGTTATACCAAACATCTTGGTATGTTTTGTTCCTTCTCCTGTATATCTCTGTGCAGATGTTGTAACACAATTTCTACCACATTTAGAGATTTCAGACACCAGTATTATGATTGCATGCTGCCAGATTTCTACATATAGTTTAATTATGAGGCTTGGGGGTCAGAATTCATGTTTTGCATATTGCTGATAACTTCTGCTGCAAGAAGTTTCTATATTATTGGAGAAGTGACCTCTGTCCCATAGTGGCCAGGATGCTTTTTTCATGGAGATGCTTGCAATAGTTCATGACTGTCATGGAAGTTGCTCATAGACTGCTGTTTCTGTGGCATGCCACAGGTCCTCTTGTTCCCATAGGGATTTGCAGTATATCTGTGATTGATGAATACTTAAAAAAACTATGACTTGGAGAAAAGTTGAACCAATCTCACTAAGTTCACAGCTTTTTGTTTAACTTTTTTATTCATGAGTTAAGTTCCACTCCTCTTCCTTAATATTCAGGTAGGCAATAAAGTTTTGCACATTTTAGGTCGAAAGATAATTTTTTTATTTTATGTCTGTTAGACAACCTTGTCAGTCTCTCCTCATGCCTGGCAGCTTGTACGAACAGCAGGACAACTGCAGGTTGGTTGCAGTTGCAGATGTGCCTGCCCTACATACTGTGCAGAGAGCAGCAAACATCAGTTGAGTTGCTGTCAGGTTTTATGCTGTGCCAGGGTTAGATTACCAGCTCTGGACATTTAGATTTGGCCCGAGGGTAACCTGTAACTGACTCAAACTAACAAAAAGATTGTAGTAAGAGGGGAATAGGAATGCATGATGTGTTGTTTTTACTGAACTAAAGGAAATGTTAGCTTTTTGTAACTGAGCTGGGACATTCTATCCTGGGAAAGTGTGAGAAACCATCAAATTCCCCACACAGCCATTACAGTCACAAACATTCACTATTTTCATATTGAAGAGGAGCAACAATTCCCTAGTGAAGGTTTACAGGAGCATCAATACTTGGAGAAGAAAGACTTACAATATTTAACTCATTTATGTTTACTGAGAGGATCTAGCCCCCTAAGGAAGGGCTAAAGAGAAGTGGTGGTGAGGCCATACCTGCAGTATTGTATCCCATTCTGGGTTTCTCAGTACAAGAGAGACATGGACATATGGGATAAAATCTGACAAAGATTTACGAGGATGATGAAGGAACTGGAATATTGCTCACATGAAAAAAGGCTGAGAGAGCTGTGACTGGAGATGAACAGGGTCAGGGGGATCTCATTAGTGTGTACAAATACCTGAAGAGAAGATGTAAAGAGGATGGAGTCAGACTCTTTTCAGTGTTGTCCAGTGCAGGTCCAGAGGCAATGGGCACAAACTGAAACATGGGAGGTTCGCCGTGAACTTCAGGAAACACTTTTTTACTGTGAGAGTGACAACATAGGCACAGGTCACCCAGGAAGGCTGTGGAGTCTCCCTCCTTGGAAATACTCAAAAGCTGTCTGGACAGAGTCCTGGGAAAACAGCTCTAGGAGGCCCTGCTTGAGCAGGGGATTGGACCAGATGCACTCCAGAAGTTCTTTCCAATGTCAGCTTTTCTGTGATTCTATAATAATGTGAGCAGCAGCCAGGCTATTGAACTTGGAATATGAGATAGTCCTGTTGGAAAGCCCCATAGGGAGGTTGCTCTTTGCAAAATCTAAAGAAATAGTATACTTTGGGACTCTTGATTGTGCCTTCGAAGCCTAAG